AAGTGAGGAAAGTTAAAAAGAATTGAATAAGCATTAACAAAAGTTGGGAAGGATAACAAGGCAATAATGTAACCATTCCTGTGGCAACACTGAACTGGGGCTGGGGATCAATAGATCACAAAAGGCACATGCACTTGATTGTTTCATCTGCCTTTGAGGATATGCTGCTCACTGAGATTGCCAGTCTTGCTGACTGGCTTTCTTGCTTCTACAGAGGCCACAGATTCTCTTACACATCCTCACAGATACCACACAGGAGACTGGCTACGCCACACTGAAACACAGCTGAAAGGTACTTTTGCATAGTCCTCCACTTATATCTCTACTTCCTGTCCCTCTATTTTCGGACATAACTCCTAGTTCCTCTTTCACCAGTGCAGAGAGGTCCAGCCCACACTCTGATTAATAAGAAATACATCAATTGGAGAGAAGATTGGAGGTCTGCGCCAGCTGAGCCCAACATTATTTCACTGACTATCCTTTAATGTAAACATCATCAAGTTTGTGCGATCATAGTACTGTTAAAGTCACACAAAGCAAGTCTTTTAGATTAGAAAATCTCCCTAAAATACTGTAAAATACAGTATAAAAGTAGACAAGCCTATTGTCTGAAATAAAAAATCATTTGCAGAATTCATGCGCAAAAGTGAAGACCACAGCAATAAAAGTGTGTTCAGACTTCACACACATAGTTCAGCTGTTTTTAAATGGTTTACTCAGCTGCACTGATAAAGGTAAACCGTGTCCAGTCTGTCCCAATTGTCCTGACCCGACATGCACTTATTAAAGTGGCTTATTGTGAAAGAACTTTTGTTTAGAAGTGCCACTGATAGCGGGGTAAAACTGTCCTCCCCACCTGCTGTTACATCATCCTTTCCACACATAAACACCAACACAACAGAGGCATTTCCTGCTGCCCAACAACTGCAATCCACAGCAAACCTGCTATGTTGCTGAAATAGAGCCACAATATGTCCCATCTACACATAGTTGTGCTTTTGAGGATACAGGTATATTAAATATATATACCTTTTATGATCTCAATCCAGGGGCAGGGACCCAGGAGTATGTAAAAAAGGATTAAGTGTCTCAAGGTCAACCAAGCTAGCAGACTGTGTCCACCTCTTTAGAGGTATAAATGTTTCAAGATTGGCTAAGACAGTATTAAGTCTGTGATGTTAGCGACATTGTTTTTCACGTGACCCATTTCTGTTGCGGGATTACTTTACAGGGGACGTAGCACATGAGCCGCTGAATAACGGGAACTAACACGTGCTAGAGGGTACAAAACTTGAACTTCTTGAAAAAGAAAATATAGAATTCCGCTGCCATAATGGAATATGTCTGTATGATCACTCACTTTCTTGTTCAAATAGTATGGGTCCAGATCCTCCAACGGCGTGGAACTCATCCCATTAGGAACATCGCCGTAGATGAAGGGCAGGCTCTTCCCGGCCTCCAGGTCACTGTTGGGCTTGGGCTCATTGTCGTCAGATGTGTCACGGTGACTACTGTCCGATCTGGGCTTGGGTGGCTTCTTGTTCTTCTCTTCCTGTATGCGCTTCTCGATATTAGCGAGCGACTCAGGTGTGAATTTCTTGAAGCTGTGAGGTCCTGGGGTTGCAATAAGGGGTGCGGCCATGTTTTCATCCTGCAGCTATTTCCTTTTTATTTGTTTTCCATCCCCGACATACAGCTCTGAGAAGTGGAGACAGACACAGAGTGACGAGTGAAAAGAAAAGACACTTTAGAACGAAAGAAACAGCTGAGCAAAATGTCAAAGCTCAAGAGTAAAATCATCTCTAAAATACTGTTAATTTGTTTGCTTTTTTTATCCAGTATTGTTTTATGATTTGTGAGAGAAACAAATTGTTGTGATGGAAGAAGCTCTTCTTTCATTTACAGGTTTGCTACTTCAATAAATATCAAACATGCAGATTCTATTGTTTCTATCAAGTTCAAATGACTAAAAGAGAACTGATCAGGAAGTCTAAAATTCTGCTTTCACGTGTCTACCACTTGAGTCCTCTCCTCTTGTGTTTAAGCTCATGAATGATGGACTTGAAGTGCCTCAAGTCATGCATCTCACCTAGAATCTTTCAGTATTTATATTTCAGCGTATTTTCTTCAATACTTTATACCATGCAGTATTTTGGGGTGAAGTTTTACTTCAGTTAAAAAAATAACCTCCATTACCAAAGATGAAAATCGCATCCTGTACCATAAATGAGTTGGTAGCACTGCTGACATCCAGTTCTGCAGAAATAAGCAGCTTTCAGCTAATGGGATTGATATAGAAAAACTGAGCTCTAGTTGCTTTTACTGCTAATAGAAACCAAAAGCACTGACTGCACTTTGACTCGACTAAAAAATCTTCGTTGCAAAGCAAGTTTCAGCCTCTGTATTTCTTCTGTTGGACGTAAAGAGAGATAAATAATGTTAGGCTAACATGCTCAGTTTGAAAAAAGAACATTGTGAGGTCTGAGTCCAACTCACTGTCTAATGGAAGACAAAATACAAAGAATGTGGCTCTCTGAGAATATTTATTTAATGGATTGGGCACATTGTGATAGGTAATTGTTAAGAAGTAGTAGTCTGAGGTGCTTCATGGCAGATAACACTTATTATACTGTTCTCTTCACTTGCTATATCAAAAGCCTTTCCAAATGTCACTCCACATGCTTACTACATTTTTAAGGGGATGATTGATTATTTCCTGATTCACAACTACCTTCAAAGCTGTGTAACTGCAGCACAGAGCATACCCTAAATAATTGATGAACTTTCAAGTCATTATTAAACCTCCATGGCCCTGACTGGTTGTTTAAACAGTAAAACGATAGGAAAAAAAACTCCCTATACTTACTGAACATGAAATCTATGCAGGACTGTTTACTTGTGCTCTGTTTGATAAACTGAACCATCACTACTTGCTATACCACTGACTGTACAATTGGCATAACAGTGACGGTACAGACCTGAGGGATCTTACAAAATAAATAAGAAGAAGAATAATTTGAGGAAATCCAAAGGCAGAGTAGGATCCATCAATCCCGTATTTCCAGAGAGAGAAGTGGGAAAACTCAGCCACGATACAACCTCCAAGTCTCCTTCCACCAAAGCTACACCAATTGATCCGTCAAGGTGATTCAAAACAGACTGCAATAGCATGCAATCCATGTACACTTGACACATAACAGGCTGCGATACTGAAAGGTGACCATGAGCAGAGTGCTTTCAATTGAGCAGAAATGGCTTCAGCTTAGACTGCGTAAACTGGGGCCACTGCAGAAATAGCAACAATCCAACTTACACGTGTCGATTAACAAATAGGCTGCTGCTCGGGACAGTATTTACAGTCTTTATAAAAAGTAAAGACTGCACCGCGGCTTCAACACTGGTTCCAGTTCAGTAGGATCCGCACGGGAGCATGTGAAAAATCTGGAAGATAGAGAGAAGAACTAGAAACTCCTGCAGCTCCAGTTGCCTCCCAGAAGAGCACGAGCTATGCATATTCACTGTCCCGTTCTGCAGCATGTAGGGGTGTACTGTAACGCTGCGTCCTCTGGAGGAGAGGCATCCAAACGCACGGCAACCCAAACTCCTTTAATTCCGCCCCGTGCGCCCTGATGCTCGGCCGACACCTCACGGGGTTTACCGGACACCGAGAAGTTAACGGGGCTTGTGAGGAGGTGGAGGAGGGGAAGGAGGAGGGAGGGATGGAGGGATGGAGGGATGGAGGGAGGGAGGGAGGGAGGGAGGGAGGGGGGTGTACAGGGCGCTTGCATCAGAGTCACATGGACCTTAAGTCCGCTTCCTGCAGCACGTCGTGCTGCTGTCTGTTATGACATTTTCTGTTCAAACTTACAGCGTCAGTGGAGAGACCGCCGGGAGTCTCGGAGAACGGCTCGTGCCCCGTAATGGGTGCACGAGACGTCCGTTAAAGCCCGTGCCGTGGCAGCGCCAGGTAAAGTTGTGTCGATAGGGAGCTGAGCCCGTTTTGGCTCCAGGGACAGGGCGGAATGAATGGATGAGGATGAGACAGGCCCACAGCATGTCAGAGCAACTCTTGGGCCGATGGTCAGTGAAGCCAAACGCATAAAGACAATCCATCCCAATGAGAACTCCTCTTTTAACTGAAGCCTGTCTGCCCCTCATCACAATGAAGCTTACATATCCTGTCGTGTGAGTGCATTTCACTGACTAACACAAATGCATGGCCAATGCAGTCCTCGGCAAAGTGCAGTTTAATACCGGGGCGCGTCGTTCTTCCATAGGGCCAAAGCCTAAAATACTGCAGTGTGGTTTATTGCCGCTATAGGCTCTAACTCCTAGTAGGTCAGTCCAACGCACAATCCATCTCCCGACAACTCATCCCTGCATGAACTCGGGTAACACACATGAAGTCCGCGCAACCCATTTTCACGTCATATAAAGTGATATTATTTAAAGGGGGGGAGGAGGAGGGGGGGGGGGGGGGGGGGGGGGGGAGAAACTAAACCGCACCCCTATAGATGAAGCCGAGACGACGGCGGTTCAGTTGTGCAGTATCAGGCAGGATGTGGATATGATGAGATGTAGTATTTCTCAGGGGAGACTACATGAAAAGACCCCCCCCCCCAAAAAAAAAAAAAAGATACCGCGGTCCCTTTCGAGTGCTGCCAAACTAAAGACGCACCTACCTCCTCACGCAATACAGTCTCCGGGGAGACTGCAAGCGGGAGGGGGGGGAAGAGATGAGGACTTAGGGGAGGAGGGGTGGGGGGGGTGAAACTATCATAGTTACAAAACAATGCTAGGGAGGATTTATTTTTAAATCAATCTAACTTAGACGTTTTCAGTGCGGTTGGTTTTTTGGGTTGAAGGCCCACAGACTGGCGTTATTCTTCCACTCTGAGAAGTTTGACGCGTCACTTCATCCCATACATGCGTATGTTTCCCCTCACCCAAATGTCATTCCAGCCAGATGCAGGCCAACTCCCCAAATAAGCCTCCGTCTCCTTCCGTTGTCCAACACCTCACATCATAAATTCTAGTTTTCCTTCTTTTCTTTTTTTTTTTTATCCCACACTTCTCCCTGTTGCCTGGCATGCATTATCTGGCCGTCCGCTGGCCGGGAGCCCTCCACAGACGCTACAGAAAAAAAGATGCTGAGAGAGGGACCGCTCTGCGGCACTGGGATGCAGTCAGTCGACAAAGTGGCACCGAGACACATCCCGCGAGCCAAAAATATCAGATCAAGCCGAGAACAGATAGTCTACTTACTTTTACGCGCACTAACAGATATCCCGACAGCTGTCACTGAACTGCAGATGTAGAAAGGAGTCGGGAGTAACTGCGGCTGTCGCCATATTGTAGCTGCTATCTTCCTTCCCGGTGCGTGCCGCTGCCCTGCATAATTGATGACTCTCAGCAAATTGTAAGGGAGTGTCGGCAAATGCCTTCGGTTTCAATAACGTGCAGGAGACCGCAGCATCGCAGGCACAAAAGACCGTTCGCGGAACAACGGTCACTCATAATCCGGCTGCTGCTGGTATTGCAACATACGTGACTTAATTTTTCTCTTCATACTAAAAGGTGGCGAGCGGGAATCTTTGATGACTTCTCCTCCGTGAAGCCAGACCTGGCAGTTGCAGCAGTCACATAGAGAAGCTCTCAACTTATCGTGAGAGTTCAAGGCACCCAAACAGACCGTTGAATCAGGGATCAGACAAAAACCGGAGAGGAGAGACAACAGTGTTTGTGTTAGGCCTCATCATTTATATTTGATAGCTTTTTCTTTAGTGAAAACAGTGAAAACAGCACATGAATATTGTTGAATTGGATCTTTCAAAAAATCTGCAATTTTTTTAATGTAAAGCGCAATGGCCTATTTATTGGACATCTTTGAGTTTTTAAAAAAGGATCAATAGTCAGTATTTGCAAAGTGTGTCAGAAGTTATCCTGATGCTCTCAATTTTGTTTATTCCAATTTATCATAACTGTTGCAATGGCGTTATCCTACAAAAACTACAAACATATAAAGAAATGATGTTATAAAGAGAATCATTTTAGAGAATAACTTAAGTTTTATCATCTCTCAAGCTTGGAAATGAGGGGGATGTATTATTGAGTGGTTCTAAAGTGTTTAAACTCCAGTGGAATACTGAAAAAGTGCAGCTTTAATCAACAAGAAGGTTATTTGCTTTCTGTGTGACTTCTCAGTGCATCTGAAAACTGTATGCATGGGGCATGTGTTGTTTGAATGTAGGATTTCTTTATACGTCAGCAGTTTTGCTGAAAACGTGTCCCACCTTGGCACGTGTGCTGAAACACTTCAGGAATCTGGGCAAGTGGTTGACAAAATAAAGCAATGTGTGTGTGTGGAGGGGGGGGGGGTTGTTCAAGGGACAGATGGATGAAAAAAGTTTTTTTTAAAAGTCAAGCAGAGGATTAGTATCTGAAAATGAGGTCCTATGAATACCCCCAGTCCTGACACAGGGCCCTGTGAGGAGTCTGTTTCCTCAGGTCTTATCAGAAGTCCTCTAGTTGGAATGGTGGCTGCCAAAAGGCCGCTCCCCAGAACTGAAAACAAAAAGATAAGGTTGAGGAAAATTACACAAGAACTGGTCTTAACATCAGTGGCAAGTTGTCTAGTGCAGAGAAGAATTCATTTGAAATTTCAGAAGCAAAGTGAGATAACAAATAAGGTTCACTTCAGCTTTCCCCGTTTTTCTAACCTCTCTTAAATCCTGCAACGATTACTTCGCGTCTGCACTTTGGAGTATACGAGCCTCAAAACGGAAATGCATCTGTTGACTTTCGTGCGTAATGGTGAGACTATTTCGAAGTAAGGTGTGTGAACTAGAACCCGCCTACAGTCGGACTTTGGGTAGTGTACGGCACACAACTTTAATCTGAAAACGCGCGGCGGATTTCTTGTTCGGTGTGGTCTCCGTGAGCGGAGCTTAACGGTTTGTTGTTGTTTTACCTCGTCTGGACTCGCCACGAGGAACGACCACGGCCACGATGAGTTTTCCACGGAAATTCTGCACCTTCGTGGTCAACGTCCTGTGCCTGCCCCTCCACCTGATGAAGGCGGTCGGCCTGTATGAATATTACAAGCGCGTATTCCCGTTCTGCGTCTACCGTATTTCGATTACGTACAACAAGAAAATGCACGACAAGAAAAAGGAGCTGTTCCACAGCGTCCCGGAATTCAGCGACTCCGGCAAGCCGGTGAAGATCTTGGAGATCGGCTGCGGCAGCGGCACGAATTTCGAGTTTTATCCCAGCGGCTCCAGGGTGACCTGCTGTGACCCCAACCCGCACTTCAGGAAATTCCTGAAAAAGAGCATGGAGCAGAACGACCACCTCTCCTACGACAGCTTCGTGGTGTCGTCCGGGGAGGACATGAGCTCCGTGGGGGATGAGTGTGTGGACGTGGTGGTGTGCACCCTGGTGCTGTGCACCGTGCGCGACATCACGCAAACCCTGCGGGAGGTGCACCGCGTTCTGCGCAAGGTAAGGGCCAACTGCCCCATTTCCCCTCTGGTCACTTCCACTGTAAAGCTGAGGGAGAATCACGACTCGTAGTGTAAGGTAACAGCCACCTGCTGGGGTGAGAAATCATTTAATTGAAGTGAAAATTTAAATATACTTTGCTGGGGATAGTGCCACTGTTTTGGATATAATTTTACAGTTTACAGTTTATGAGAGTCAGCACACCAGGAATCCTGTTTTAGATTGTGTTGTGTAAAACACCCTAATGTTCGCAGTCCTATGAAGGACTTGATTAGAAAAACAGAAGGAATATTCAGGTTTCATGTTACAGTTGCATAACCTGTTTGGCTCTGATCTGCCCCTAAAGTCCAGCCACAGATCTAGGTCATAGTGGTCAAAATGAGGTTTCAATGCTTTTCAGTTTCTGGAGATGGACTTACAAACATACCCAAAGATGAATGATTGAGCTAAAGCAACAGAGCGGCAAATATTGAGCCATGGCGTTTGGCATATTATAGCCTTAAGTGATTAAATGTGTGAACAACAACTACAAAGCCCATCAATTATGGACCTGCACAAGGTAAAGCTTAGAGTGACTTGTCATTCATTGCTTTATGATATCTAATGATGTCTCTGTATATATGTCTTTGAAATCCAAAAGACACAGAAGGGGAACAGTGTGCAGACATTTGGTTTGAGGAAATCAGTGCAAAAGTATTTGCTCATGCAGACATCATTGTGGAGGTTCCATTCTATAATAATATTCTGCATATGTTTCAACTTTGCCTAATCATAAATGTAAAAAAGGGAAAAAAGAAAACTGTAAAAGAGGGGATATTAGATGGACATTGCAATTTAGATGGTAAAGCCATAGATCTTTGTCTTACAGGGTGGAGCCTTCTTTTTCATGGAGCACGTGGTCGCCGACCCCTCGACTTGGTCGCACTTCTTCCAGCATGTCCTCCAGCCTCTGTGGTATTACTTTGGTGATGGATGCGAGGTCACCCGGGAAACTTGGAAATACCTAGAAGCAGCCGGATTCTCCGAGCTCCAGCTAAGACACATCGAAACGCCACTTATGTTCGCAATCAAACCACACATCGTCGGCTATGCCGTCAAATAAGCGCTGTGTCATGAACCAAGTGCCACACTGTTCTCACAACCAGTATATGTAGAGCTTTCTATTCTCCTGTCCACCTGTGTGACCCATAACAGCTGTCTTATATAATACTCCTTTTCATTTTTGAAGCGGAATAAACTTGTTTGCTCTTTAGGGAGGAGATGTGTTTAACTTTGACCCTCGTCGCTGGAAAAGTGACTAAACTTTCAGGAGCTGAAAGGCATTTATTCTCGAGTTGGCTTTTCCTTTTGTCAAGTTTAACCACGCATTACGTTTTGGTTGTGAAGACATCAATGTGTCAATATGTTGTGCATTAAAAGCTTTTACCTGGCAGTAAAATAAACATTTGTTTATTTGTCTCAAAGCTGGAACAGCTTGGCCTGCAGCCTCCCCTTCAATCTCATGCGACCCCTGGTGGTCGGAGTTTGCCATAGCAGGCCAAGACTTAGGCTAATCTTTTGATCTTCTCAGGTAGTGTCTCGGGGTTTTTTACTGGTATCTTCACGGGAAAATGGGGGCTTGTTGTATGAAACTGTGCAGGCTGCTGTGCCTGGCGCTGTGTTTGCCCTTTCGGCTGATGGAGACGGTGGGCCTGTGCGGTGTGTACAAGCGGCTGTTCCCCTGGCTCGCCTACAGCGTGACGTTTTCCTACAACGACAAAATGCACACCGTTAAGAGGGAGCTGTTCCGGAACGTGGCCACGTTCGCGCGCTCGGACGGGACGCTGCGGCTGCTGGAGGTGGGCTGCGGCAGCGGGGCCAACTTCCGCTTCTACCCGCAGGGCTGCACGGTGACCTGCACCGACCCCAACCCGCACTTCCGGAGGTACCTGAAGTGGAGCATGGACGCCAACGCGCACCTGACCTACGGCGAGTTCCTGGTGGTCCCCGGAGAGGACATGCGCGGCGTGGAGGACGGCTCGGTGGACGTGGTGGTGTGCACCCTGGTGCTGTGCTCCGTGGACAGCGTGCAGCTGGTCCTGCGCGAGGCCCGGCGCGTCCTCAGGACTGTGAGTCACCGCGCGCGCGCTGCCCCCACGCGCTGCCAGGGCCGTCTGAGGCCTCGCGTGGGTGCCATGTAAAGTAGATGGCCACACGCTGAGTTGGGTTGAGTACACAATTATGAATGACACTATAAAGTGTCAATAGAGATGCAACAGTAATGAGCCATTCAGGGTCAGATACTGATTGGCTGATTTATAAAATATATCTGAGTTACATTCATATGAAGGCAGGACACAATCAGCTATGAAACGTGGAGACAGACCACCTTAACTGCAGTGTTTACATTTCAAACAGATTCTTCCCCTCAAGCAGTTAGTAGTTCCAACAAAGGCGGGTGTCGTGTTATCAGTGAGATTGGCATCATAAATAAACCCTGTGACCTTTGGCCAGACCGCTGAGAGCCACAGCACGGTGGTAGATGTGAAACCGAACACCTGGAGATCAGAATCTGTGTTTGTTGGCTCTCTTTCAGGGCGGAGCCCTCTATTTTTTGGAGCATGTGGTTTCAGACCCTTCCTCGTGGACATATTTCTTCCAGCATGTCTTCGCGCCTCTGTGGTACTACCTCGGAGACGGGTGCACGGTCACCAGGGCAACGTGGACAGACCTTGAAGCAGCGGGCTTTGCTGAACTCCACTTGAAACACATTGAGGCTCCAGAGGTCTCTTTAATGATAAGGCCACACATTATGGGATATTCAGTCAAATAGGTGTGGGACATGATGAAGTGTTTACTTCTCAGTTTGGGCTATTTGACAGCATTTGAGCCCAGTTATCTCTGAAATTCCTTTCACTAGCTTGTAAATATTTGCTTTATAGTTACAGACCTGTTGCAACATAGTCTAAGGTCTATCAGTGGTGTCCAGACTCAGAAGAGAGGACCAAAGATCAAGTAAGAGGTCCCGTCTGCCCAAAAGAGCAACCCTCCTATCAAACAAACGCTACCTTAGCCACACATGATACTGAGTGAAAATATATTTATTTATCCACAGAATCAGCAACATTTTATAGACTGTTTGTTCTTATTTACCCTTCCTCCCAAGATGTACATAATAAATATTACCTGGACGCAGCTTTTTTTCCCTGATTGTCTAAGTAACTGCCAAGTAACAAACAAATCAAACTTACTGTCGTCTTTTCTGTTGCCCTTTATACTCCATTGCACAAACGTAAGGAATGACAATTGTAACATCTCCTTTCAGGGAAATGAGGGGAATTGCTGGTTTACAAAATAAAACAGAGATTAAGTCTGTTTGATATTCATACAGTCAAAATTCTGCATTTGCTGTCATGTCTAACAGCAAGAATTTTTTTAAAGACACAAGGGAAAGGGACACATTTGGAAACTGAGACTCAACTTTAAAGCTCACAATTTCAAACCTCCCAGTATTAAAAATGTACACAACTATAAATGTTATAGCATTAGCAATTTCATTTCTTAAAAAACAGCAGTTGGAAAAATGGCCAATTGATTATTTGTCCAGTAAATCTCCTGCCATAAGTCACTTTTATATCAAACAGAGTAAAAAAAACAAAAAAAAAAACAAATCTGGAGACTCTCAGCCTGTAATGAAGTGTTCCCATAAAACCCCATCATGTCCAGATAGCTGAGCTGTGCCACTTCCACGCAATCCTCCACCTGTTTCCAAACAGTTTATCCTGTTTTCACGGAGTAAAGATCCTTTAATGTTTTCAGTTCCTCAATCAGTGTCTTGTTCTGGTTCTCAAGAACAGCAACACGGTTTTCGAGACATTTGACATATTCTTTTTTTTTCCGTCGACATTCACGAGCTGCCTCTCTGAAAGGGATGAAAAACAAGTAGGTTGTCAGTCAGTAGGATTGTGTAGTGGGTGGACCTAAAATGTGTGACATCTCACAGTTGCAATATAAAGTTAAATTAAACATGGGAATGAGAAAATAATTTACCCCATTTAGTCAACCCTTATCTTCCAGAAACAAATGTCTTTAAAAACAAATCTTCACAATTGTCACAGACTGAATCGTTCCTTGGATCATGTCTAGTTTTGCTTCTACAGTAAAAGCTACTCCATCAATTAGCAGATCCACAAACGGAACATCAAAAGGTTCAGTCAAAGGCTTTATTCATCACTAAATACTCATCTCAAAATATTTCAGAAACACAATGTTTCTTCATTACAAGCAAAATAAATAACTTCTTCTCCCAACCAAAACCTAAACTCTGCTGTGTTGTTACCTGTTTTTTGCAAGCCTGATCTCTCTCTTCAGTGTAGGGTCATCAGTCTTACTCTGGGACAGCCCTACAGGAGAAGTCATAACAACAGTCTGAGGAATGGAGGCAGATGAGGGGGCTGTGCGGATCTGGTACGTTTGCACCTCTCCTCCTGCACCTGGGTCCGACAAAGCAGCCAAGAAAAGAAGCTATTACTAAAGCAGCACCACACAATTTCCTTCTATTTTTTTAATTTGGCTTCTCAAGTGAACATTAACTTCGGCCAATCGATAGGTTTTGTGTGTGCAAATGTGCATGAATGGGAGTTAACGCCATCCAGCCAAAGCAGATGAGAGCTATCAGCAAAGAAAAGATCCTGCCAGAAAGAGGAAGAAAGAACGAAAGAGCCTTTTTAAAAATTCTCTTGAAGTGCTACTGAAGTCAGCAACCTTCTGTCACTGGAACAGACAGGGGAGAGCGTTTTGCAAAACAGCATATTTTGGTCTCAATGCAGCGAAGCACTTTCTGCACGGCTGCAAGATGCCTAAATTGTTGCCATGGTCCACTTGCATCAGAGTACTATACTGTTGGATTAGACACACTTAAAAACTCACCTTGAACAACGACCTGATTGCTAGGCACCAGTATTTGCTGGCCATCGGGCGTCTGAGCATACTGAAGGATGGTGGGGCCTGTCTGAGCTCCACCAGAGTTGGCCATGGTGACAGCCTGTAATCCCTGAATTCCTTCCGACCCTGGAGTTGCAAGCTGGATGGTGCCATTGGCCGCAATAGTAACTAGAATATTCACACAGATGAAAACTTCATTATACAGAATATCAAGGATAATTATTTATGTGTCTATAAAGTCACTTTGCAGATTCCATAGTCAGATATTTAAAACAACATTTAAAATATCTAACATTTGAAGGAATCAACCCGAGAAGTTGATAAACCCCACTGTGACGTTGTGCCTTTTCCAAATGAAAAGCCAGGGAGAAAAGCTCTTACTGTACTGGCCGCTGCTGGTTTGGTAGATTTGGGTGGTTGGTACTGTAACACCTGTTACTCCTGTGGAGGCTGGGCTGTTATCTTTCCCTTCCATATGAGTCACTTCCTCAGAGGAAAGCTCATTTAGAATTTTTCTGCAGAGTAAAATGATCAAGATTATTACCAGCATATTTTGAGATTCTCTATCTGGATTTTTATTTTTGTTTTTTTTTTACCTGTACGAGGGCCGTCTTGCCAGTATTTCTCTGGTCTTTTGGGTTGTTGCTCCACTGTCTGATGAGTCCTGAGAATCTTCACTATCTGTAACCTGGGCCTTGAACAAGAAGGACAGATTAATAAGTGCATGAAATGCATATGCGCATTAAAGTATCATGACACCTATATCTTTTTTATACTAGTATTTTTCAACAATTCATTTAATTACTTTTACTCAATAATATTGGCATGCAATTTGACAGCTGGCTGCAAGATTTACCTACAGGTTTTTTTAATGGAAATTTGGAGTCTTTGGAAACCAGACCTTTACCCAATTGACAATCACAGATTTAACATACTGTCCAGCACTCTGTTTAGTTTAGTTTATATGACTAAAGTTCAGAACTGCGGTTTCTGAGTCCAGTTTTTCCAAAATACCAATACTGAGGTTTTGCAATAAATAGGTTAAACCAGTCAACGTACATTTGTGCCTTTTGGCCATTGACTAGACCACTATTTCATAAATTAATCTTTTTTCACATCATATAATAGCAAATAGATTTATACAATTTGAAAAAAAAACTCCAAACACCAACAGGAAATATAATAACATTACAATCTGAAAGTGTGTTTTCAATTACTTTATCATCTCAATTATCTGCTTGAGGTTTCCTTTAACTTTACACAAAGTAAAGGAGAATTATTACGTGTGCTTATTCGAATAAGTTGGACGGTACATTTCAACAGGATGCATCTAATTTTTCAAATGACAGCAACACGTAACCCTGGTGGTCTTACCTGTACAGCCTGAACCTGAGGGGACTGAATGACTGATGACTGTGCAGACTGGATCACTCCTTGAACCTGAAACTGACCCCCCGGTAGTTGCACAACAGCCACAGAAGAACCACCCAGTGACATCTAGGAAAATACAAATACAAGTTCAAACTACAAGGAGATAAATGGGGGGGGGAAGTAAATAAAAACGACTCAATCTTGGTTTTGGCGCACACAAAACCAAATACCTTTAAACTAGTATCCACTAGTAGAGTATCCAAACCAAAACGATTAAAAGAATAATCAAACCAACAGAGCACTGTTGTTGCCCTTTCATAAACTACCGAGGACCTCTTATTAATTACCCATCATAAGAACCAGAATGAGTTAAAGATAATCGTCATTATTAAAGTTTGCATGTTGTCTCTAGAAAGATTCATACCAGAAGTCACTTCTCTTTGGTGTGAACTGGCTAGTAAGTTAACTTTTTTATAAGAAAGATGACACTGGATGTGAGATTTAAAATGTAGCTATAGAGTGTGAGAATTACAATGGCCACATACCACATCAAATATACCTAAATGGCATTTCAAAGGATCTATTAGTTACCTGATGGGCTATCTGTGAGAACTGAGAGGTTGTGATGGTAGTAGGAATGGTTGCAGCCTGTGATTCAGAGCCATTGCTGCCCTGTTGTACTTCTTCCATAGTAACTGGGAGGAAATAAACCAATATTACTGCGGTACAGTAGCTCTAGTGCAGTAACAGTTGTCTCTGTGCGTTGCCTGACTGTAATGGGATGTAACCGCCAAGCTAGGGCCTCTGCGCTTGAAATAATATACACCACACAACTCTTTACCACTAGGGAACAAATCGGAAAGATATTAAATTTGTATTTCTGCTTCACTAAATATTTTAAGTTTGAACAACAAGATTTGAGCTTACTAAGAGTGGACTTCCTCATTGGTTCAATAATTATTAGCAACTAACGTTACGAATTACGAAACATCCAGGTCCTTCATTCAATACTACCAACTTTTTTTAAATTTACTTTTTTTCCCCCTCGACCTGTTTAATATTGTTTGTAAAATATACAGCAAATTCACACCAACAAACATTTATTGTAGGAAAGGGAAGATTGTTACTTCTAGAATGTTCGGTCTCACTAACGTTAACGCTGCTAGTTAACGGTAGCTAAGCAGTTAAGCGGATGTTATACTGTTAAAAGAGTTAAAAACAACTGTTTCGGATGAAGGCATTTAGCAAGCTTGGTTAGTCTGATTCGCAGGATGGACGAGCTTTTGTCCCAGTGAGCAAATATATGTAACTCTGTCACTGGCACGCAACTTATCGCGTCAAAAGACGTCAGCGATACGGGGAGCCATTAAGCTAACTGCACCTTCCCTTTTCATAAAACGGCGAAGGGTTGACGAGGCTACAGCCGCCATTACGGCTACGGCGGAGTGCAAAGCAAGGCGAGCGAAACATTAGCTCTCAGCCGGAAATATTTACCTTTACAAATGACTTGAAACAACTCCGGCTCACAGCGTGGAATTCGGTCAACTCGTGTGCAGACTTTCGATCAAAAAGTAACCTTAAAAGTTACTTAGCAGAAATGGCTAACGGCTAAAAACACAAAGATGTCAGCTTAAAAAAATAGCTGACCACTTTTTCCCCAAAGGAAATGGGCGGGGTGGCTGAGCAAAGATGGCATTACGTAATGGTTTCTTTAGGCTTTTTGATTGGTGGAAGAGTTTGAGCAACTATAGTACTTTGACATTCTTTCTCCTTTAGTTGTGAGTCAAAATTAATGAGAAATCTTACTAAATAAAGAACAGGCGATGAAATAACCTCCCATATAATTATTAAAAAAATATATGGTTGATTTAATTAGCTACAGCTGACAATATATTTGCTTTTACAACCACGGTAAAATTCTACCCTTTTTAAAGGTTATTTTCGTTATATCTGAAGCACTTCCACATTTTAGACTGATCCGTTGTTTCTTAAATTGTAACAGTATATTACAATGCCTGTACAGATTAGTTGTTTCAAGTTGGGTTTGCTCCTCTTTTAGAGAAAGTGTGGTATTGTTTAAATTCTGTATTATGTGTCCCATTTATGAGTAAACACAAGTCTCTAAATGTTGTAGTTCTCAGTTGTGGTAGATAAATGATAGAATAATAAAAATTATTTATATATATATATGAAACTAAATATTGTTCCTTTAATACAATAATTTCTTTTTCTGATTTCTTTATTCAGTTTTGGTCTATTAGTCTGTTTCAATTGATATCTGTGTGTATATGCATTATTAATAAAAACTCAATACACTTGAAATAATTATGTGTTTTTGTTTATTCTGTATTACTGATACATAAAATATAAAACATAGTACATCAAATCAAATAGAAAATATGTGAGAAAATGGGAAGGGTGGTACCACCTTGACTTTTAAAGTACACAGTATGAGACAGTAACACATCTCCATGATTAAATATTTCTCAGTGGATTACACCCTTTTGGAGAAACTGTTGATTTAATCAAATAATTGAAATACAACACACTAAGAGTGCATACACAAAATATCAACAAACAACTTAAAGAGAAATGAGCAGAACTGTAAGTACACCAATGGTTAAATTTCCTCAGTCCTTGTTAGTTATTTAAAAATTCACAAGCATCATGTTTTTTTTAAACCAGACTGTGCAAGCTTTTAAATGAAATTGCACTGTCAAAAGGATTGCATAGTGTATAAGAACTCTGATGGGAGGAAATAAATGGGGTATCAGAAGAAGCCCTTGTAGACTTCCTGTAAAACAGGCAGATATACTCTGGTCATCAGTAATCCCTCTTTTTTACTCCATATAATTGTCATTTCTGCGATGACAAAGAGATTCATTCTGACAAATGTCTGCCCTTTACATGTTCTATTCACAGATTGCACCTTGGGACCTCTTGGTCCATCCCTGTATTAGACATTTTGCTCCCTGAATAGACAATTCTAAACATTATTATCTCCCTACACTTGCCTCAAAATAAAATTAACTTCAAGCCATTTTCTTCTTGTGCTTTGCTGAATCATGCAAACATTCTGCCGCAACTGCAAATCGCAACATTAAAGCTAAGATGAAGTGCTGTTGGACTGTTTTTAATGGGGGCAAAACCAGATTTAAAACGGTATATGTAGGAAATATTAAACACACTTAATGTAACATGAAATTTAGTTAATTGCAGTCCATAAAGTAGAAAGCTACTGTAAGTACTACCAGTGCAAAGTGCATTAATACAATTATCATCATCCTGTTCACCTCTAATCATAAAAGACCTGTCCCAAAACTGTTCGTCCAGGCTGAATGTCGTACTGGGCCAACTGTGAGTCCAAAAGAAAAACACAAAAAAGACAAAACTATTTACATCCTGACAGTAAGAGCTCTTCACTAAAATACAGTATAAGCCATATTTGGAAAAAACTTTCAAATATGGTATGGAGCACAAGAAAAGCACAAAGATTTAAGGAAATTAAATATGCTTTTAAAACTCATCTTAATGCATGTTATTATCATTTACATTTTTTTTATTCATTTGTGCCAATCAGTGATGTATCAAATGTGGCTCAGATTTGCTGATGCATTCAGCGGTGCTTATAAATCCAGTGACTGAAAGCAGAACATGATTCATGACATGGGATGACTTGTTTCTACTGACTATAGTACCAACAACAACGCTTTTAGAATTCAAATCAATTATTTACAAAGTCGCACACACACAAAACATAGCTTGAATGAATTCAGAGTTCTAAGAGGGCACAGGCCAAACTGAGAAGATCTCGCCCGTTAAGCAACACAATGGCTGTGGGTAGAAAAAGGAACTGGGACCTTTTTCTCCTTATCTTTTGTTTCTTCCCTTTTTTGTAAAACAAAATAATCTGGCAGCCTGGAAACAGTCATAATATTGGTTCAAGCCTTTTCTATACAATTTTCACCCCAATGGCTGTCAGAAAGGTTTTCTAGCATTAACAGTGATAGCCCTCCCTGTAAACTCTAACATCTCTTCATACAGAATTTTTCACATATACTATCTGCTTCTATACCATTAGATATAATGCCTCATTGTTATAATAAAATAGACCATTTTTGAGAAAGCGCAATGTTATGTCTATCCAGACTAACAATGCTTGAAATTATTTATCTTTACCCTCCCAGGTAGCTATAACTAGTGTTCCCACATCAAAAGTACATTTGACTGTGAAATCCTATTTACAATGCTTTCTGCTACTATTATAGTGAGTCAGCTAAGTTATAATTCCAGAACCCATGAACTGAGAGGTGAATCAAGCCTTTGTACAATTATACAAAAAATATCTACATAGCAACATACAGTATCTAAAATACAAAGAGGTCATTGTAGTTACAGTGAAGAATATAGCCTATTTATTCTTTTCTTTTGATCCATTTTGGATATCTGTGAAAACTTTCTACTAGTAAAAGGATAATGCACAGCCATCAATAGCAAATTCAATAAAAGAGAAGTTAGGAATGTATGGCTGAAGTTTAATAAGGCAGGAGAGATATTAGAGCAGGAACATCTTTTTTGGCTTCATTATAAGGGGCAAAAATAAGTTTTCTTAATTTGCATACTGACTGAGACAGACAGCTTTTTTTGTATTTTGCCCTTCTATTCATCCTTGTAACTGATGAATGACAAGGGCTCAGCATGTGCATTTGAGTGCATTTGTTTGAAAACAGTATGTAAAAATATTTCAAGTTGTTGAGTGAAGTTAAGAGGCTCTGCAGACACGGAAGGGAAGATATTTGCGGTGACTACAGAATCATGGGTCAGGCTTCTACCAGTACAGTACTATATGATTCTTTCTAAAGTAGACCTGTTGTGTTTGTTTGGCCATTTTCCAAAAAGTACATATCATTTTGCAGTGAATACCACCTCTTTTCCTTCAGCAAAATCTAAACTTTATGTAAAAAACACAGTGAGCAACTCCACATGTGGTAGATTCAATCATGCAATGGCCAAGATATGCTGGTGTCACATGGGGCTGGGTCATGCTTTTGCTTTACACACTCTGCCAAGCCAGTCGTTGAGCTGATGGTGCAAAAGACAGCAGAAAGACAGCAAACCCGGACCCCCCCACCCCCCGGCGCTCACATATTGTAAGCAACATAGATGGGATCCAGCTGGTCAGCGAGAAACGAGTCCCGAAGGTGCATGCGTTGCTTTTCTCCTCTGGAGTTAATCGGTATAACCCCGGGATCCACAATGACCACCACACCTACAATGAGGTGGTGCTCCTCCAGGACCACGTTGGTTATCAGAGGCACCAGGTCCAGAGCATCCTGCTCTGATCCGCACAGCTCTGACACCACCACCAGCAGGTTGGTCCATGTAAACACAGCACTGTGAGGAAACACAGATAGGTAGCTCGAATGAGAAATTCCCAGTTAAAGGTTGCACATGGTATAAACATTCATTCTTCATGGTGATACAAAACAAAACAATGGTTTTATTAACTTCAGAAAAATGTTTTATTCAAAAAGAACATTTCTTGGCTCTTAGGTTTTCTCCTGTGCTCTTGATTAATCTGAACACATTTTTTGATTCTACACTTTCATAAGCTGCAACGTACGCAATCAAACACGATAAAAAAATGAACAAATTCTTTTAGTATTTTCCTTTATCACCTGCAAGTGTACTTCAAAAGCAGTACACAGCAAAAGCCACTCAGAGATCATGTGATCAATAGTAATTGACTGTTTGACAGCTGAGAATTTAGAGAAGCATTTATTTTTCTAAAAATGATTTTCCATGGAGATAAAGTGACTGTGGTCAGGTATGGAGTATTACTTCATTCTCACCTCTCAGCAATACTTCGGTGTGCCCGTGACACTGATGTTTCAATGTCGATGGGATGGTAGCGCAACCCTCGCAACTCCAGGGTCTCATCCAGTGAGCCCACCACAAACAGAGCGTCATGCCGATCTGAGTGTAGAAATACAGGGAACGTAAGCAGCCATTTGCAGGCAGCAGAGGAAATTGCATAATCAGTGGTTGTATTCCTAGTTCAGTACCGATAGTTGTCTACTTTGTTTTTGGTCAAGATTTTAGCTCTGTCTGTTTACCCCCACTGGCATCCAGCAGCTCTGTTCTCTTCACAAAGCCCAAGTATCCAGTTCTGGCCCATAATGTGTGTGGGTCTCCAAAGCTCAGCTTGGTGTTGAAGTGGTCAGCCTGAAGACTCTCCTCTCCGTAGATGGTGTAGTAACCACTGGCATTGTGTGGGCTGTTCACCCAGACCTGAGCGAGAGGAACACATTGTCCGGGGTCAGAGAGAAGACCACCATGACAGGAGCCTTTTGTTTTAACATTGTCATCCTGTCACCATAAGGGAGAGGGATGTCTGCTCATGGTCATTTTACCTCTCCTAGATGAGAATCACCAAGAGGGCCTCTGGTCTCTGGATTCACGATTATCACACGAACACCTGGCAGTATCTGTAAATTATAGATATTCATTGATAGCATGCCTTCATTTCAAGATTTTATAAATGATCTACACTACTAAAATTCATACAACTTATCCCACCTTGCCAGACTCCATTAAAGGAAGACTTTGCGGAGCTCCTCTCTCCACCAGCCTAACTCTGAAACATCCCAAAAAATGGGGAGGCAGACACATGACATTGTTAACACTTATAGCTTATAGCTTGAATATGACATTTCTGGAAAGGAAAAGTTCTCAATAAAGCCAAATGTCTTTTACATGTGAGGTTATTCAGCTAGTCTCACTCCAAAATCACCAGCATAGGTTGAGCTGAGATGTGAGTGAATAAAAAGGTGCAAACCAAACAACAAAAATTCTGTTCATAACAGAACCTTCAAATTCCTTCACAGAAGAAAAGAGAGTTCAGGTCTTTACCCTATTTTCATCACAAAACTATAAGAATCTACTTTTGAGACTCTTTGAACAGGATACTGAAGATTAGAAACATGAAATCTTTTGTCACCTGTCATGGCGTAGAGACTTCATGTCCACATACACCGTACAGGGATCAGGACCAGTGGTGCCCTACAGCACACAAAAGGTTACTCACAGGTCTCACGGGATGGCATTTTAAGTTAAACGTGGATCGATCTTCAGCTGGTTGCTTTACCTGCAGACACACGGCCAAGTTAACCCTGGAGCCAAAGGCAGTGCTGACAGCTCTGGAAGAGAGCCCCACATCCTTAAACAGCTTGGAAAAGGACTGTGTGAGGGCAAGACGAGGACGTTCCTCTGCTATCACGACACAGCTCCGCACGCATGACAGGTTGACGCCACGGGCCTGGAAACACACCCAGAGGCAACAATCAGATTCACAGCTTTGTTCTGTTTTAATGGTCGTCCGTGTTTGGAGTCCTCACCTTGAGTAGATCGGTCTGCATACCCAGTCCTTTAGTGCATAGCTCCATAACAGAGTAGGAACAAAATGTATCTCTGATGCGGTACTGACTGAGCGTGCTGAGCCACAGAGACAAGCAGGTCTCCAGCTCAAACGGGGGAATCAGGATGGATTGGTGACCTGAGTAAACACTATGAGACAAGAAATCAAAGGGAAGTGTGAGAGAGGGGCAGACAAGAGTGCATCCCACACATGCACGGTGTGTGACGGTTTGCTGTACCTTGCGAGGCACCACAAGACAAAGCCCAGACCACAGTAAGGATCCAGGCAGATGGCTATTTGACGAGAAGAGTACAGCTCACATTGAAGCTTTATGGAGCGACAAAGTGCACTGACCGCTGCATGAGAAATCTGATACAAAGAACAAACAGCAAAGTTTCACATTTTTTATATTATTTTATGTCCAAAAGCAAAAATCTTGTGATAATATTAAACATAAGACGAATAAAGCTCCACTCAATAGTGTTGAACTGCTGAAAACTATTGAGTGGAACTGCATGTGTCAGGATAAGTGCTTCTGTGTTTGTGTTGGACTGAAAAAGCACAACCCAACAGTCTCTGTCGACACAGTCCCTTCACGACCCTAACCCTGGACCCATATTTAGCCAATGATATATTATGATGAAGTAATAACATTATTGTTACAAATCTTCATGTTGTCCTTAAAACAACTTTCACTGTCTGATATCCACTAACTAACAAGGTTGCAAAACAAAAGTAAAAAGTAGCATGATTGACCTTGACCCCAGTAAGCATGCCAGTGGTGGACACACTGAAGTCCAGATAAGCAATCATCTCTGCTGTAGGGGGCTTGTAGATATGAGGGGGTCGGCGTCGAGGAAGGTCATCTGGAAGCAAGAACAGTGCGAGACTTATAGTATCTGCTTTAGATGAACTGTTGTTTGAAATGTGTTTTAAAAAACTGGCAGTTTGATAATGTTGGTCACAACACAGAGCTGGGATGTCTTTTCAGTTGACACACACCAAGTGTCTAAAAGCAGAAAGCACAGCTAGGTTTAATTTTGGAAGTGCTTTGAAATATTTAAATAACGTAGTTGTTTCTTGACTGAGGGGCTAATGATACATCTTTCAGCAATTTTACAGTTTTTTACTGTTAAACTCATTTAGAAGGTTGAGGGACAAAATAGTTGCCAACTATAGATGATCAAAAGATAATTAAACTTGGATCTTGAAAGATGTCTCACCTTTCATCACAGGCATATACATGAAATGCCAACTGCTTGCAGCCAAGAGCATTTTTTCTGTCTTGAATTTGACTCATTCAGCTACTAACAAAAGTCAGCTACAGTGAACAGTAAGTTCTCACTCTTTGCTTTCAGTTCATGAAAATGGAGGATTCAGGTATTGGACACACGTACAGTACTGTTTTAGGTTTAATCCATTGTAAATTATGTTCGAACCATATCAAGATGGTATGGTAGCATGTATAGTCAGGTGTGGTTTATTACCCGTGTCAATGATTGTTGGCCAGGTCTTGATGTTGACCGAAGCTGCAGCCTCTTTGGAGCGCAGAATCCTCATGAGGTTTTGTGTTGTGAGAATACACGCAGCTTTACTGACCTGACAACAAAACACAAGTATGATCACATGGACACAAAAAGCTGTGCCGAAACGTAACTGTGTAGCAAAATCACTCGCACTTTTTTGTCTTATGTTTTTACAATTGCGTAATAGATTGTGCACTCGTCATTTGCCCTCAGCATCAAGTTGTATGGAAAATATCTAACAGTAAGTCAATGCGGTAGGTTTAATTGTTGTACACAACTTTTTGTGTGGGCATTATAGAACAATTCCATTACAGAAAATGAATACTTAAAAGATTAAATGAATGAAGTTGAACAAACATTAACCAAAGATCTACAGAAAATTTGATGAAAATCTACTAACAGAGCTCAGACATACATCAATAATCATCCGGACAGTGGGAAGTGTGGCTGCCAGGTTCTGAGGGTGCGGAGGCCTGACGTTGACTGGAACACATCCAGCGTAGAGGCAGCCATAAAAGGCTGCAATCAGATCAATACCTGAGAGAAACAGGCAGGACGGGGATCAAGTTAAAGAGAAATCTAATCATCCAGGGTTCCACAGTAATCTTTATGAGAGCAACAGACAAAATTGCAGTTTGACAGTCTACCGGGAGGATAGAGCAGCACTACATTCTCCCCAGTGTTGATGCTGCCTTTCTCAGTGAGCGCTGCGGCTATCTTCTCTGCTCGCTTGTGAAGCTGGACGCAAGTTGCTGTGCCCACAGTTACACCCTGAAAGACGGGATGGAACATTAAAGAGAGGAGGGGAAACAGGTACCTCCCAAGGCATAATATCTTAAATCATCTATGAGGATTACACTCAAAAGTGAGGTGAATGTAATCATATTGATAAACTATTGCACCGCTCAGTGTACAGGCAGATCAGATTGGTACCTTGGCATTAAGGAGAACAAAGAGGACGTGGTCTGGATCTGTCTGGGCCCTCCACTGAAGAGCCTCGGTCAAGTACTGGTGCTATGATGAAAGGGGAGAAACTATTTACTTACAGTACATATTAAGGTTTGCTTTAAAAAAGCAAAAACATTGCAGCCAACTTAAATTCAAGCAGACATTGAGTGCTGATGGAAAGAAAAAAAAATAATACACAGTAAAAAAAAAGATCACATAAAGTGGTGCTTGGAGAGTGCATACCTCAGAAGATAGCTGTCCAGAATAAATTATCACTGGGCAAACCACAAACTATTTATACCACTTAGCCTGAGTGATCCAAGCTCTTAAGATAATGAACAATAACTTATGGTGTTAAAGGAACAGCATATCTACAATAAATGGGGGATAACCCAAACAGAAGGTGGTTGTAAAGAAAGACTAAACGTATGTCAGAGTTTTGCACAAAACCACAATACAGAGGTGATATAAGGATTAACAGAATAAACATGAGCGTGGGGAACATGCCAGAGGGAACCAGGATTCTTACCATAACAGTAGGCCACATACAGAGCTACATCCAGAGAGAGACGATAGCAGAGAGAAAAGAAGAAGCCAAATTGTTTCTATAGACCACTGCTGGATCTTTGGCCATAGTTTAAATGGCAGTGGAAGGTTTTCACACCGTTTCCTCTACATGAACTGCTTACACTCATATACACCAGAATTTTTTAAGATAACGTGCCTTTTTAGAGTGCTCCACATGTCTGAACATTTCTACAATGGATGATAAGATGGGAGATCGCCTCACGAGTTTCTATGTGAATATTTACATGTTTATGTTCATATTTATGTGCTCTGGAACCTTTCTAGAACCTTTGAAAACCCAGAGTGCATGTTGGACACCCTTTGAACACTTCTACTGGTCACATGCTCATGATGCCTGCAGCTTTTGGAGGACACACTATTTAGAATGATCTGAGGGTGTGTCTTTTAACGTTCCAGCAAAAACTACCTTGCGGACAAGGTCCTGGTCTTCGATCATGCCAAGGTCCCTGCCTGCAGCCTGAGCAATCCGCTTCCCTGCCACCAGGTTGCCCACAATGACCGATGCAGGACCAACGCCAACTACAGGAGAAAGAGTGCCAAACACACACAAAAAGGAATGGACAGAAGTAGAAGTAGAAAAAAAGACCACATTGTGAGGGTGAAATCAATAAACAGGGCTTTGATAGACACATGTCACATTAAAACCGTGTTAGAATTCATCATAGCATTTCACCTTATGTGAGAGTAACATAAACATCAATTCAGTGTCAACAAGGGGGCACAAGATGACAAAACAGCATTCGGGGGAGGAGTCTGTATCTGTAAAGATTTTTTTTAAAATACAGAGCAGAGTAACCTGTGATTAAAGTTATTGTAATTCACACTTTTCCAGGTTTGAATAAACTGTTATGCATGTGAATGACACAATAAAAAGCTAAAAATTTACACTGGTATAAGCCCAGAGTCAGCACATAACTTTAAGCATCTTACAGACCTTGAAATACACTGGGCCAGATGAAAGTATCTCCCAAGTATTTTCAAATAATAAAGTCAGATGTGTCAGATTTCACTGTTTCATGATATTTATGTGGCAATTATGTACATTTTAAATTTGCCACCTTAATAGTGAAGAGTTTTTTCAATTATTATTATTTGAATTATTTTCAATAATTTACATTTTTATTGCAAGTTCGAGCATTTATAAATATATTACTCTATCTGTTTCTCTCAACTCAATCAAAACAGCCCGTAACACATAGGACTAATAGAATTATTTCTGTGTAAAGACTACTTTAAGAAACTCAGTGAAGGTAAAGACTTGCCGGGTTTTTTGACAAATACATGTACCTGGCTGCTTCTGGCGGGGCTTGGGCAGATTGGTGACACAAGTATGGGGACACATCAGGATGTTGCAGGGGTGCAGGTTGCCTTCTAAGAAGAACTGTTTAGCATCTGAGATGTGGATGCCTCCCAGGGGTGTTTTGGGCAAAGTGTTGGCTGGGACAAGAGCCAAACAGTAGAGGCCCACCTGGTGGATGCTGTCTATAGCCTGCAGAGGAATCCACACAAAACGAACAAATACTTTACTGTGAGATTTGAAAATATACAAGGGCTAAATTCAATAACATAGGAGAATTATATGTAAAAAAATACATTTCATTTTTTATCTCAGAGGAAACATTTACCTATTTAATAACAGACGCCAAAAGTTTCTTTGTAAAAAGTATTAAAGTAGATGGTAGTAAATTTACCTGAAGCACTCGGCTCATCCACTGGAAGCTGTCTTCCTCACTGGCATCTGGCCTCTGCTCTGCCACTATTATGACCCTCTCATCATAGAACACTGTGACTGAAAACACAGCGATCCTGACAGACACAATCATACAAACACACTAATTTAGTGGTAATACAAACCGGGCTGGAAGTGAAACACAAATATGGATTGTGACCGGTAGTTAATATCAATATTCTATAGTGGGAGCTTTCTACCACAAGATGTCAGTAGAGTTAAATAAAGAGTTTTACTTAATCCTCCTCAGATCTCATCTTCGTTTTTTTTTATAACAGTCAGATTCTCCTCACCTTCCTCGGTACACCGTCTTAACGGGCTCTACGGCAAGAGCGGTGGCCACCAGGTCATCGGCGTTGTGTCTCCGCCCGCTCACCATCAACAGACCCTCAATCTTCCCCACCACAAAGATCAAACTCCCCTGCAGGAGGCCAAACACACAGCACAGTTATATGACTGTAAGAGAGACATTGGCTTCTTGTTAATGAAAGAGTGGCACTTACTGGGCCAACAAACCCCAGGAGTCCTGACCGCACGAATGGAATCTCTCCAATGGGAACGCCATTAGCATTAACCGGTATCACCTGAACACAGGGACACAGATGGAAAGGACAGCCACACAAAAGAGGAAATGAGTCAGCTCTAATAAGGATTCTTAACACTGATTGCATGCAGGCTGTCTTCTCATTTCGCCTTTCATACCTCAAAGGTGTTTTTGGTGAGTCCAGGCAGGCCATAGTACATGGTGCCTCCTGCACGGGAGTTGATTATTATCTCTCCTATCTCATCAGTTTTACACAGCTGCGGGGGTCCATCAGGCTTAACTATACACATCAGGGCTGGAACAAAGAGATGGGGACAATACCATAATAAATACGTCTTAATCTAAGTGTCAGATTCCACCATACAGCACAGACATTTGCCTAGTTTAGATGCATGTAACCACAACTTCCCCTGGTCATAATGAAATGTACTATTTTCTTTTTTTCTTTCCCTTTCTGAGGCAAACGGGTTTTAGTTGGATATATCTAATCTGCTATTATTTTTCTAGCTATTAATGTCAGAAAATAACCAAGTATTGTAGACAAGCATAGACTAATTTGTGGAACACTGTGTCATGAAGAAGATAGGATGCTTGAGCTGCTTCTATAAAAAAACATATTTATCCTTTTCAAATTGATCCAAGGGATGCTTGAAAAAAAAGAAATTCAAAATTGATCATAAATTTGACTCTTTAATGGCTATCATAAAACATTTACACAACTAGCGCAACTATTCAATATATGCAACTTGCCTAAAGATCAAAAGACATTCTTCTGTTGTTTGATATTTCTTCTGTTTCAAAAATTGGGATTTTGTTAAATTATGATGGGATGAGAATCCTAATTAAGAGGAGTTGGTTATGGTCGTATTTCCTGTGGGTTTGAATCAATTATCATTTTGTGTTGCCTTGAATGTTAGAGCAAACTGATCTGACACTCATTCTGACTTTTCCCCCCAAATTATGAAAAGAAATCCATGCCTTAATTTGTTGTGTCCACGTGAGTGTAAAAACAAAATTGTAGGATTTGAATATCTCTCAGTAATTGTCACTAAAGAGGAATGGACAATTACATGTGTGAAGAAATATTTCAGAGTGGGCTGTAACTTAACAGAATAACTGTACATTTAAATCGGTATTTTCCATGACATTTATGTTGTAAAAAACACATAACTTGCTTTTATGTTTTCCTGTTAAATCATGTATATTTCCTTCTTTGCTTACCTCCAGGCATCACATGTCCCACATCTTGTACAGTCAGGGCAGAGTTCTTGTCCTCCGTGTTGACTCTGATGACACCATGGCTGAGGCCACCCAAGGACAGGATGGCACGGGCAGGGAGGGGTGCCCCCGGGACTCCAGGTCTACACAAGCAAACAGCGGGTTCAAGTATGTTTGTTTGCATCATGCCATAGGTTAGTTATATTATGCTGAGTTTGTCTTTTTTATCTTTCTTAGTAAAAGTCATCACTTTGTTTGGCATACCTGCGTATAGCAACTGTCATGGCCTCAGGAGAGGTGGCACAGGGACAGATGACCTCAGGCTTCAGCCCGTGTGACTGAAACACATTCAGGAAGGCATCACAGGAAGAGACCGACCCTTGAAAAGAGGAGGCAGGTGATTAAGCATGTTAAATCCAACCTTCTCAAAACAGAGCAATTCTTAACTAAGCTCAGGGTCCCAAAGTACTCACAGGGGTTAGCACCATCAGCGACAATGAGCATTCGTAATGAAGCCAGGCTGATATCTCTGTGGTCCCGATGAGCCATCATGGCCCAGTGCAGATCACGGCACTTCACCAAAGCCACACGAGCTGCACAACACAAACAAAGTTGCCCAGCATATCATTAGACAATCTTATTTCGTATTATAAAATGAGAGCGGAAAAACTCAGGTCCTTTACCTTTATGGATGTAAACCCTCTGTACCCAGGATAGAGGACACGCTTTCATTACGGCGTAAGGAACACTAATTGTGTGTATTCTGTTCATTACAGCCTGGAAAAGAAACAAAACCTCATTACGCAGCACATAAAAAAATTATATGTGCCTGCAGCATGGAACACAACCTACATTATGACACTGTAAGACGTTATGTCCTCAAATGACATTTATTTGTTACATTATTTAGAAAAAAAAAAAAAAAAGAAGCAATGACAATACTGAATGAAAAACAGGATTACATTATGATGAAGAGTTAAATAATAACAATAAATAAAGTATTTAATGCAAAAAAAGAAAAAATAAACCTACCGTGAGAACTCCATGCCATAAGCCCATATCCTTTTTGAAGTCCAGAACGTTGACTAAAGTTTCACCTTAAAGTGGATACAGAGAATCAAGTTGTGACTTCAGCTTTGCTGGAGAGGAAATCTTCAGGTGACAATGACAACAATGCAACAGTACTCACCCTCACAGTAGTTGCAAGCCTGGGTCAGTGCTTGGCAGTGAGTCAACATGGCCACTTTAGACACAGCCACTCCCACCACGGTGCCCTCTTTACTCGCCTTGTACTACAAAACAAGGGGGCAAGAGGCGGAACTGAGAACACTGACAGTGAGCACAACATGCTAAATCAACAAGCTGCTTTTAATTATCGACATTCTTTGACATGACGGGGCCAAAAAAAGACTTTTGAAATTCTAAAATGACTTTGTAATAAACTGAGCTCAGTTACCTCTATGTAAGCGGGGTCAGTGTTTGCAGTGGGAATGTGCGGCTGCCAGTCTTTAGATGGTTTGGTCAAGTATTTTGAGTCTGTTATCACCCATTTTAACCGGGGCCAGCCTATCAGGGAGAGTCATCAAGAGAAGTAAGGTTAAACATAACACAATTGTCTTAAGGTAGATATTACACTATCTTCTGACATCCTCTGCATGTTATTCAAATATTTTGAGGCCACAATATGTTTTTTAGGCGATATTCCAACAAACTAGCATTCATATGTGACGGACAGAGCCTGCTAACCTTTGAACTGCATTATTTCACCAGTAGGGGTCTTGGGTAAACCTTTCAAACAGATCTCACTTGTCAGAGCAAGACCGACACCACAGCTACCGAGCAGGAAGCCCACTTGGCTGATACCTGCATCCTGAAAACACCAGATGAAGGGGAAAATATCACAGTTAGCTTGTGAACTTTAAAAACTTCCGAAAGTTGTCTTCTTTTGTTTTCATACTTCTGAGATGGTTTCCATACCTTGCGAGACAGCGGCACCTCAATAGGCACAGGTATTACTTCAGCCAGCAGGCAGCCATAGAATGCCACCCAGAACATCCCAGGGTCACTGTTGGGGTACACCAGCGCCACCTATCAAGAGCAAACGTTCACTTTAGGATCATTTAATATAGGCAGATCTCAGATTCTTTAAACTATAAAACATTAATATTTGCAAACTAACTGAAAATATGACCCACAGCTGAGTCAGATGGAAATTCTGTAACAATCTAGGAAATGATCATTTTTTAAAAATCACTTTTTTGATCAAATCATCTAGTCATTGCAATGTCTTTTGTGAAAGTACTCTCGAAATCTGTTTCAGCAATTCATTTCAGCTGTCCATAGATTTAATGTTGAGGCTGCACATTATCTGCAGATGAAATGAAAAACTGCTGCAGCTTGTCACACCAAATGCCAACAAATGATTAGTCATATTCCCCATCTCTGGTCTAACTGGGTCTCTGCTCACTCACCCTGTCTCCAGGTTTGAGGATTTGTTCATTCTTGGTGCCAAGCTTGTTCAGGAGAGTGTATGCCAGCTTCACACTGCGACTCCACAGCTTTCCTACCAGACAGAAGGTGGGGTGGGAAGGAGGCAGTTAGGAGGGAAGGCAACAGATCTCCCTACTGCCAAGAAAATCTCATGTCACAGAGTTTATACATTCGCCTTAAAATAACTGCTTTGAATAACCAGTTTGTCCCTGCACATTTAGAAATTCAGCCTTGTGTCTCACCATATGTAAGGGTATACATCGGCTTTCCCGTGATGTCTAGAGCAGTGAGAGCAGGGCTCTTCCCCTGAGTGGCCCCCCAACGAGCCAATGCCGCCTGCAGGGCTGGGGGCCAGTTACTGACGACTCCCAGGGGCTCCCCTTTCACAGGGATGATCTGGCGGCCCTCTGGCCTGGGCATGTTGGGGTCTGGCTCGGGCACTATCAACAGAGGCAAAAAGTTTAATATGTTTAATCGTGAAGTCTTGAACTTCTTTGATAATCTTGATTGAATTGTTCTTTTAGGCAGTGTACCTTGGACAATCTCCTCGGAGTCGTCAGTGAAGAAATCGCTGAGTGGCGGCCTCTTAGGCCTCTTCAGAGTGTTGAGCAGCTGTTGGATCTTAGTGGACACTCTGCTGCTCACAGGAACTCCTACAAAAAAGGTGAAGATGCAGGCGAGCAGCGGCGGGGAGAAACATGCGAACACTTGTTTCGTGAATAGTACAAACTGACCAAGCACAACATGTTCAAACATCTTACCATCTCGCACTCTGCTATTCTTCATTCCATTCCACAGTTCTAAGAGGATTTATGTGTAACATAATTTAACATATCTTAAACCCATATGATCAAAAATAGTTTGGGAATGAAAAGCAGCAGCACGGGTGGGTGTAGTTAAAACAAGGCATGGTGAGAGCTGGGAAAAAGGTTTTTTGGTTTGGGATCACACATAAGGATTAAGATTGTGCGTGGACAGTGTTTTTGTTGCATTTCTATTTACAAGGATCCATTAAAGACAGCAGGAAAAGTATGGGTTCCACAGAAAACACAGAAGGCTATGGACGTTACATATTAAGGAGTTTCCTTACTCTGCATATTACCTCTTCCTATCAGCCATTCAAATAAACATGAGAGGTTGGAAGAGATCAGGAAGAGAAGAAAGTAGTAAAGTCTGATTAATAAAACAGAACGGCTGCTAGTCGACACTAATTTGAAACAAAGACCAATCAGACACAACCTCACATAAAGATACACTAAGAAATGAACAGTTGTTACCATCCGCTGTCTCCAACATGCTCGAGCGGCTCTGCCCACGGCTCATCCCTCGGACGACAGCATTAGAGGGCAGGTCCACCCGCGGGCCTCTGGCTGGAGGGGCCACAGCTGTCACATCTGGAGGGGGGGCACTGTTCTCAGAGGGGGCTGCAGGCAAAATAAGATATCCTGAACTTAACTTGTTGTTAAAAAGAAGAAAAGTTACGTAGGTGTTGGAGGGCACCAGAAACAAGCATAACATGTCAGTTTAATACAATGTATCTGTCTTTTTCTGTATTTTGTGAATGTAGCGATCCATAGTGGAGGATTCCTCCTCGTGAGATGAGACAGATAGTTCAGCTTTCGACCAAAGCGTGCCATTAGGAGCAACTTGGAAGCTTGTTAAATGAATGCATGCAACAGTTGGTGTCCATGAATATTTGACAAAAGTCTGCCTCACCAATGCGACTTTGAGCCAGCAAGTCTGTCACTGCTGCAGTGCGGCTCTGCTCGTGCGGCTGGTACTGGGGCTGATACAGAGGCTGGTACTGGGGCTTGTACTGAGGCTGAGCATGGGGTTGGCTCTGAGGCTGTGGCTTGCCGTCCCCATGCGACATGGTGGAGGAGGCTGAGGAGGAGGTGGAGGAGCCCTGTGTGGAGCGGGTAACCCATTCAGGGCTCGGCGCTTTGGGATTGGCCAAAGGAGGGGGAGCGACCATTGAAGATTGTCTTCGCACCGAGGTCTCATCCTCAGAACCTGATGACGAGTCTGAAGGCGAGATAACAGAGCTTAAATATCCAGCACTGTTTGATCCTGGCTAAAGTTTCAGCTACAGAGTCATCATAGGAGAGTAGGTCAGGAGGGTGGCCTCTATTTCTGTCTTACCTGGTGGTGTTCGGGCTTCAATGGGGGACTGCACATAAGTGGACCGTCTTTTTGTGGGCATAGGTAGTGCCATCTTTTCCTCTTTATGTTTAGCCAGGGCAGCTTGTACTGCCTCACTATGGATATCTGTACAGACAGAGGACATTACAGACTTAGCTAGATATAACTTTGTTCTACCCAGCCTGTATGCAATTTTACAAAGCAAAACAATTGAGAAAACAAAAACTAATGTTTGTTTTTTTCCTTTTCTAAAAAAAGAAAAAATGGGGGACATAAAACTAATGTTTTAAATATGGATATACCATGATCTTGCTGATCCTAGGGTTTGTTACCCTCTATCTCTTGGTCTTTTAAAGGATCAAAAGGCAGAAGGTAACACTTTGATTAGAAGACTGGAGATAGTACACCAGAGAAGCAGTTATGACCTTTGACCCTTATTCTCTAAAAGACCGTTCTTTGTTTTCACTACACAGAAGTTGATTTGTATATGTACAAAATTACTGAACATTTTCAAAATGTATAAATGTCAATATGAGGAGAAACTTCACCAAACTTCTTAGACACAGAGGTAAAGTTCTTCAGTTGTTGACTGGACAAATGGTTGAAGGCTTTATGAACATAATAAAAAAGGGCAGAATAAAAGCAGAATTCAACCAGCAAACTTTAGGTGTTTATCTAGACAGAAAAATAAGCTATTCTTCAATGAGATCAATCAGATCAAATTTGCTAAACTCTGCCTCAATTGTTTTATTTTAGAGATGTCTCTATTCTAGTGCTGCATTCTTGCTCCAGCAAGATTGTCTTAATGTCTTTAGAGGAGAAAGAGGAAATGTCTTCTGAAGATGACAGTGTTACCCACTGGGGCAGGAATCCACAAGTAGAGAACAAAGCTCTGTACGAGCCCACTCACATGCCTACACACACACTCATATGCACAGAGCAATAAACACAGACACACTTTCACTTGATGACACCCACAGGCACATTACGAAGCAGCGGCACATTCAGAATATGCAACAAAACATGTGCAATAAAAGACAGACTTTTTTTTTTTAAAGTGAATACAATTTCTGCTCAAACATCAACAGATTTAAATAAATCATCAAGCACAGCTCACTTCACAGCAGCAGCAGGGACCATAATTACATAACTGGCGCACTGCTGAACAGATTGCTGAGGGCTAAATCATCCTTTATCGCAATGTGCAGAAGGCCTCCTTCACAGGGGAGCGTCAGGAGAACCTCCTAACACATGTACAGTGAGGATGAGGGCCGTCCACATGGGGATAAGCACAGTGGGTTTTTTGTGGAGGTTTGCTGTGTCATTTATTCCTGCTCTGATCAACACAGATAAAAAAGGGCAAATAATTGTGAGAATGCCTGATAGAATTTATTTGAAGCATGACTACAAGTTTTTTTGAACAGCAACCATTTGTTCGAGATGAATTTTCATGCAAACTGACGACCGACACTTCCAGTCCAAACGCAAGGACAGGAAGTGACGCCATTTCCAGTTGTTGACGTCATTTTTCTTCTACCTTTCAGCTATTCATTGTCTTATTGGTTTTAAAGGTGCAATAGCTGGAGATAGCCACAGCGAAGAGGGATAATTAAATGATGATCTCAGAACATTATTTTAACCATTTGTTGCTCTGAAGGAGAACGCAAAAACTATCTGGCATTTCATGAAACGTGATAAAAAGATTTAAAACATATTTTTTCATTTTGTTAGTGCTATTTCAGAGTTTTTAGGTTTCATTCCTTCAGCCCATTTTTAAATGTCTATATTGTATTTTCTTCTGAACCACAGCATGTGCTGTTCCATATGTTTTTCATAGGTGCTTCAAAGAAAAGAGATAAGTTGACCTACACTGCTAGAAAACAGCGTGACATCATTCTGAAAGGAGAAGGTTTGGCCTTAACTTCAGCCAAATAACACTCATAATAACCTTACCATGTGGCTTTTGCTCTTTCACCTAAACTACAGCGCTTTTACCAGAATGGGTTATCTCTCCAGAACAGCACCCTGCTGTCCACACGTGTGAGGCAGGAGGCAGTCGTGCTCTCGATAGCTGAAGGTTGTAATTCAGATTTTTTGCTGACCTGATCGGTAGCGGTCATCCCTGGTTCCTCCACTGCGATGTGTCCTGCGGGAGCGACGTTCTCGATATCGAGACGAGTTTGCTGGGGGAGGGGCGTGGCTAGAGGAGCTTGGCGCAGGAGGCTGTACATCATTCTTAGGTGGCGACGCTGTCAAACACACACAACAACTTTAAGCGCAAGAAGCACATATCCCCACACACTTAGGAGAAACACAGGCAGTCAGTGAGGTGACCAGAGTCTCCCATTCATTTGTTCTGGTAACAAGTGAAGGATCTTTTATCATCCTCTGATCTGCTCGCCTTCTTTTTTTTTATCTTGGTCATGCACAAAAGTACGTCAAGAACCCATAACATCAACCGTTAAGCTTTCTAATTCCTCATACTCCTTATGCTCCGACTTGAAGAACATACATATTGTGTAAAGCCACTCATTGTCATGTGCCATTGCTGCATGATAAATAATGTGTTTCAAATTCAGTCAATTCTTACCTGGAGTTTGTATTATATAAGGGGCCAAGAGTTTGGTCCTTTTCTTCTCATAACCCTTCTGTGTGATGTCACCTGTAATAAAAAGGACAAGAGAAGGAAAAATGTGTTAAGCAAGTTATGACAGAGGAGCTCACAAAATAATTTTTCATGGAAAAAAACAAACAAATGAAAACTGTCTTTTTACTTTAGTCACAGCCGTAATCTCCCAAAAAATGTTTCAAGTATGTGACTTCAATGACTCCTCAAACTCTTATATTTATGAAATGGGGCATCTGCTCAAATAAAAGAGTTTTAATCAAGAAAGGAGAGCGTCACAGAGATTAGAGACACAGGTGGGAAAACTAGAAAAATAAGGTGGGAGATGAAAACAGATGGATGCACACAGTGTTGCAGTATTCTCTAAAGATGGTTACAGGCGTCAAAGATGTGGCTCAGTTCCGGTCTCAATGAAGTGAAAAACAAAACTAGACTAAATCTGCACACACACAGAAGCGTGGGCAAGAGATGGGATGATTCAGAGACAATGAGAGAAAAACCAAGAGGCATGAATGGTGAAGAGACAAACTGAGGTTAAATGGAGACGGTAAAAGCCCAAAGAATAAAGAGGAGACGATGAAGGGAGGGAAGGAATTCAAAGGTGATTGTTGGTACAACGAGGAGGAATTCATAATTGACAAATATATAATCTTAGTGGTAGGCAAGCACATAGTTCCACTGACGCCTCCTTCAATCCCTCCTGCTGACAGTCCATCTGTATCTTCCTCCATCCCACCAGACCCAACACAGGCTCACTGAGCTCTCCGTCGGCCCTGATGCTTTGCAAGCACTCCTTGCCAAACTCCTCTGAGGGTAAAGCTGTCAGATTTTCAAACATACGAAAAATTCAATGTGGAGAAAATGCCCTCAGTTTTCTAGTAGCAGCAAGAGGTCAGGCTTCACTTGATATGACTGCCAGTGGCGGCCTTGACTCCTCCGAAAACGTATCTTTATCATACTGACTGCCTCAAAAACAAGGGATCTACATGTCAGTCCTGCATCATATTTTATCCCATATTCTTCTGGAAGACTTGCTGAAGTAGTATCCATGTCAGTCTTGGATTACAAGTCTTGGATTGTTGTGATTTGTAGAGATGAATCCACCTCAGCTCTGAAACACATCTGGATGCTTATTACAGATAGAGTTGATAATGGTACACATCATTATTGTTACACAGTAAAGTCAGTAAAGATGATAATTTTACACAAAGCACAGTTATTTTTTATTTTCTAAGCAGGTAATTTGCCACAGAGAAGTATTTTATCAGACTTTCTCTGACCAGTTTTGACTTAATCTTCCACAACTTTAATTTGAATTTGGTAAAACTGCTTTAAATCACCCGAGGTTTGAAATAAAATACAACATCTGCTTATATAAGTTATAAGACCCACAGAGAAATCATATAATTTAGTCTATGGTCAATTATGCTGATTAAAAAAACTGATTCTGCACTAATGTTGGAATCAATCCCTTTTCACACAGGACCTTTGTGTGGGCTCATTGTCACACACTGTATAGAGTATCAAATTTGAATCTAGGTTTTGGTTAGAAAACAGTGATGGGTTTTATTTTAAAAAAACTTTGACTCAAGGGACAACATATTGACATTTGTTACAAATCTTTAACACAACTAAGCACGTTAGACATCTTGGCAGACCAACCACAAGGCTCTGGACATGACTAGAGCCACACGAGGAATAGTTAGTGAGGGTTTGGAGGATATCGCCTGAGAGCCCACTCCAACATTATATCTCCTCAGGGACTGAGAGGCTTTTTTCCCCCGAAAAAAAAAACAGAAGAAAAGCAAACACTTCCATAAGTAATGCATGAGCTGTACAGTTGGCCGCACTCAGTCACATGATTTATTTTTAGCTTATGTGAACATGCAGTTTCTCTGCAGAAAGACTGAGGGAGAGGGATGGAGTCAGTGATGGGGGGAGGGTCTAACTGGATTGAAATGCAACTCATTCTAATCAGTCTTCCATCTGGATGATTTGAAAATCATCTGTTTTTCCCCGTTTCACGTTATCCAGGCTTCATTAGATCCTACCTTTGTAAGTAAATGGTTAAATCTCTCCCACCAGTTAACTGCCAGGTATACACAGTTATGGTATAAATATTATTAAAATGTATGAATGGGGAAATTTGTAGAAGTATAAAAATAGCAAAACTATGACAAGCTGAGGGGATTCTTCCCTAAAATCTTCCCACAATTTCCCCTGGGTGCACAGCGAACCAAATCTGTTTAAGAGGCAAAGCGCGGCTCACTGTGGAGAAGAGGGCCTCACTGGTTAACCCATTTCCTCACACTGACCCAGTCACGTCTGTGCTAATGGTGCAGGTCACAATCAAGTCATTTCAGTGTTTTGCTCCACATCAGACTGCCCCATCTCTCCTGCTACAACCTGGTCTGACCGTTGCATCAAAATGAAGGAGCGTTGCGTTTTGAACCTCCCGTCAGCTACAGGGAGGAAGATCAAAGCCGAGCCTCCTCTCAGCCCTGAACGCTCTCCCTTTTTTTAGCTTTGGATTATTTGAATTGTGGTAAGATTGCTCTCGCCTTTTTACCCCTAAGGCACTCAGCCTGAATAGTAATTAGCAACCAATCTCCATTCTCTTTCTCCGTTTCTTGCTCACCCTCAGTTACTCCCTCGAGTCAGCTCTTTATATTCATGTCAACACTCACAAGACAAAAATATGTTAAAACAGTACTGGTGGCCTGTGGGCTTCCAGACATTTTGACAAACCGTTTGATGGACCTAAAGATTAGGTAAATACTATAACAATACAACACCAAGCACAAAGTCAGGTGCCCGGTGGAATATAGCAAGTCAGTCATCAACACCGTTTTGGCTCTTTTCCTGCCTTTGCTGACGTCACTGTTTATTAGGCAAACTGACGTTCCTGGTGCTTGAAGGGCCGACAGCTTTATCTGTGGGCCAAAGATCATACTGAAACCTCCTAGCGCCGCCTTTACAGCAGCATTTAAACCCAAATAACTGATCACTCCAACACACCAGCCGAAGAATACACACACATCCTGGAAAAGCTACCGAGAGTATCACAAGATTTTCTGCTCAGAGTAGAAATAATTTCACTGGACGGGTTCTGTAGATCCTCTGCACAATGTGCTTTTGTCTTTAACAGACCAGCAGAGAGGAATTAAGTGGCTGAAAATCTGCTTGTGGCTGTGAAACAGATCTGCTGAATGTTAGAGAGAACTTCTGGATCTCCCTCTAACTGATAGAAAGAGTTTAGGCCACACCAAGACCAAAGTAAAACATGAAGATATCTGTCCACAGTGATCAGGGATTTTCTATAAAAAGAAACACCAAGCATGCACCGGCTCACTGTAAACATGAACCAAACTTTATGCTTTCCCATTTATGCTGACATCATATACAGCTGTGGTGTGGGCTTTGTGTTCGTCTTGGACTGGGACAGCATTAATAACTATCAAAATTACAACTTGTGTGGATGGCCCTTTGAGGTCTGAGCTCAGACAGATCACTGCAACACGCTGATTTTTCTTTGCAATGAGGGCTTTATTTAATGTTGAAGGCCACTGTCCTGCTGCACCGGTTTGTTGAGCTCTAGCTTCAGAACAACCAGATGTTAAGATGGCATACATTCCCCAAGGCTGAATAAAAAAAATCCTGGATCTTTATGACTTTATGTGTGAGCAGGTGCAACCTGTGACAAAGCAAACCAAACATAGGTCAAACTAGTTCTGACTCACACCTCAATTCACTGGAATCTGCCTTATCATCTTCTTTATTGCTCAACGATTTACATGCTTTTTGTGTTAGTTTTGATCAAGTGACTGTGAATATTTCAACAGTTTATTCAATGTGAATAAAAACAATAATCATTTGTGTATTATTAGTTGAAAAGTTCGGAACTTACTAACAAAATAAAGAACAGTTCATATTGTACAGTGAATGTGCAGCATTTCCATGCTTTTTCTTGCCACTGCTCATGAGCTTGCTTGCAAATAATCAGCTCGGCATACATGTTGATACAAGAAAGGAAATTTGTCAAGCGGTGTAACTGACATTTTGGGTGGTACTCTTAGAACCTACTGAGCTACAATTAAATATGCAGCCCACATTTTTCTCCCATGTCTTCCATGTTAAAGCTGGCTCACGGTCTCACATATGCACGATCACACAGATGTCAGCTCTTCCTGTTGTTCCTTAGATTTCTCAGCTTGCCATAACTTGTGTAATTGCAGAATGTAATTTGGTTTTCTGTGAATAAAACATGCAAATTATTTCTGTTTAAAAAGCTAAATAGTGGAGGGACACCAACAAAAAGATAAGTCTATCAGGAATGAAACATCAGAGCCTTCTGTCTTCATTGTGTGGACAGAATGCTTATATATTCCACGGAGAGAAGCTACATACCCACCTTTTTTTAACCAGACAATAAAACTGGTATTACAGGCATAGGTGAGTGAAAGCAGGGTTTTTGAAAAGCTTAAAGCCTTAACACACGAAAACGCGCACACGCAGACACACACACACAGTTTTTCTCAGTAGGTCTCAAATGATCCTGGGTGCGGCTAACTCAGGTAGCAGAGCGAGTCAGGTTTTCCTCTACACAGTTATTAAGCACCACTCAAACAGGGAGTTGCGACACCACAAGCACACGTATGTGTGCAAACACCCTCACGCATATGCGGACTACAGAGGGCATGTAGCAGTATTACCAATGTGTATAAAGCAGCAAGGCGAATAAGAGAAAGGAAATAGTGACTCAGCCAGCAACCCCCCTCCCCCCTTCTTCCCCTGTTGTCAGGTGTTCCCATCGGTTATTCTTTAGCTGGAGGGAAGAAGGTGCGGCTGACACACCTGACACCACACCTACAGCCCTTCAGCACCCTGGAAAAGACTGTGACTGAACCCTGACAACTGTGACAAAAGAAAGGGAAGATGTTACAGTTTGTGAACAATACATGCAATGCTGGGTTAAAGGCATGCATGTCGCCTTGTCACTGAGTAAACTACAACACTGTTAAGCGTGTTCATGCAGC